AAAATCAACACGCGAGTATATATTTATAGATTATGTAGAATAAAGATAAATAGAATGTATAGATTTCAGAACTTTTGACAACGCGAAAATTTCCACAACAATACCTGTGTAATGGGTCATAACGCGAACATTTCCACTCGCGAAAAATTCAACTTTTCCACAAGTGATCTTTACGCCACCCGTAAAATGTGATAATGAAACTGAACGTTGACGTTGTCCGATTTTTTTATAACAATTGACAACTTAAGCAAGGTTTAGTCGAAAACACTGTTCGGCATCAACATATATTTATGGCTCTACACATATATGACAACTGCAAGCAACTTCCGGTTAATCAACTTACTACTTATAGAAACACCGCCCGCATTACCTGTAGCAGATTTTAAAAAGTTCGATGATCAAATATTTTGCACTTTTTACCTGTACAGATAAATATCTATACAAACTCAAAGTGCAGTACGTGTAACGTGATTACAGAGCGTGACGTGCTTTGTCGTGTTCTTCTTCTTAAAATTGTATGCCAACAACACGATTAGGAGCTCTTCTGCTTCCGGAAGATCGTCTGTACTTTCTGCTCGCGCTTCGGAATGCGCATAGACAAATCATTGTCTCAGGCGCAAGTCGCGGTTCTACCTCAAACGACCTTTTATCCAGCACGAATCAAATTTGTTGTAATTATTTTCAGAAGAAAAGCCGATGCCAATTCGGTGCCATCTTCAGTCGCCATTTTTGTAAATTGATACTGCTGGCAAGATTTGACTCCATAAAAAATAAGATCAATGTTTATCGCATTATTGTCAAAAAAATGTTCAGATAGAAATGATTCACAGCAAGTGGCTATCTGCTGAAAACAACGTAGGCCATATCTGACTTAAAGATACGCCGTGTTTTGTCATCAGACCTTTCACCTTGTGAATTGTTACACCCATGATATTTTGATGACGCATGTTCTGCCATGGTTGTCTGTATATCTTCTTAACGATATTAAAGGATGGCTAAAATGTAGACGAACTTAATATACGGATTTGTTTTATAGTCAAACAGGATACATTTTGTACAACATCCTTCCGGTTGACCAAGAGAATGTGTGCATTTCATACTTTAATTCCGGTCAAAGTTCCATTCATTTTCAATTCATCATTGTCGACCTGGTTATCATCATTGCCTAGTAACGAAATAATAACGGACGTTTATGTACGGAAACCAAAAGTTTATTTTTGGTAACAAATCCCGTTACCTTTGACATACTGTAAAATGTAAAATACGTACTAACTTTAAAAGTATAACCTCAAGCACCGGCCAACCGTCTCACTATTCAAAAGAAACCTGTTTGTGAAGAACATCGACATGATCGCGCCGTAACAATGGTATCGACTTTCATTTTCTCAGTGGAATATTAAATGTTTCAAATACCTCGTCAGCATTTGATAGCAAATATGCATTTCTTTTGTATACATTTCCTGATAATGGATATTTCAGACAAATGCAATCCCTCATTCAACAGTTGATCTGTTCTACCTAATACTGTGGAAAAGGAATTTTTCGCGGTGTGGAAATCCTTGCGTTTTTTCGTGTGAACGGAATGAGCGAGGCATATCCTCACGCGACTATGTATTTATAGATTACATAGATTTTAGATGTATGACAGATATAGATTTCAGAACCATTGTCAACGTGAACATTGCTATACTGCAATGAGTTTAAAGACTAACAACACGAACATTTCCACACTGCAATGAGTTTAAATAGTATCAACGCGAATATTGCCACTCCACAATCAGTTTAAAGGCAAACAACGCGAACATTTTCACTCCACAATCAGTTCAAAGAGTAACAACGCGATCATTGTCTCACCACAATCAGTTCAAAGAGTAACAACGCGAAAATTGCCAAATCGCAATCAGTTTAAAGACTAACAACGCGAAATTTGCCACACCGCGATCACTTTAAAGACTAACAACGCGAACAGTGCAACATCGCAATCAGTTTAAAGAGTAACAACAAGAACATTGCCACACCGCAATCAGAAAAAAGAGTAACAACGCTAATATTGCCATACCGCAATCAGAAAAAAGAGTAACAACGCGAATATTGCCACACCGCAATCAGTTTAAAAAGTAACAACGCGAATATTGCCACACCGCAATCAGTTTAAAGACTAACAATGCGAACTTTACCACACTGCGAACAGTTTAAAGAGTAACAACACGTACATGTCCACTCCACAATCAGTTCAAAGAGTTTCAACGCGAATATTGCCACACCACAATCAGTTTAAAGGCAAACAACACGAATGTTTTCACACTGCAATGAGTTTAAAGAGTTACAACACGAACATTTCCACACCACAATCATTTGAAAGAGTAACAACGCGATCATTGTCTCACCGCAATCAGTTCAAAGAGTAACACCGCGAACATTTCTAAACGTATATATTTCCACACCGCAACCAGTTCAAAAAGTAACAATGATAATAGTGACACACTACAATCAGTCCAAAGAGTAACAATGGTAATATTGACGCACCGCAATCATTTAAAAGAGTACCAACGCGAATATTGCCACGCCGCAATCAGAAAAAAAGACTAACATAGCGAATATTGCCATACCGCAATCAGAAAAAGAGTAACAACGCGAATATTGCCATACCGCAATCAGAAAAAAAGAGTAACAATGCGAATATTGCCACACCGCATTCAGTTTAAAAAGTAACAAAGAGAACATTGCCACACCGCAATCAGATTAAAGTTAAACAACACGAACAATTCCACACTGCAATGAGTTTAAAGAGTTACAACACGAACATTTCCACACTGCAATGAGTTTAAAGAGTTACAACACGAATATTGCCACACATCAATCAGTTCAAAGAATAACAACGCTTATAATGCCACACCGCAATCAGTTTAAAGAGTAACAACGCGAATATTGACACACCACAATCAGTTCAAAGAGTAACAACGCGAATATTGACACACCACAATCAGTTCAAAGAGTAACAACGCGAATATTGACACACCACAATCAGTTCAAAGAGTAACAACGCGAATATTGACACACCACAATCAGTTCAAAGAGTAACAACGCGAATATTGACACACCACAATCAGTTCAAAGAGTAACAACGCGAATATTGACACACCACAATCAGTTCAAAGAGTAACAACGCGAATATTGACACACCACAATCAGTTCAAAGAGTAACAACGCGAATATTGACACACCACAATCAGTTCAAAGAGTAACAACGCGAATATTGACACACCACAATCAGTTCAAAGAGTAACAACGCGAATATTGACACACCACAATCAGTTCAAAGAGTAACAACGCGAATATTGACACACCACAATCAGTTTAAAGAGTAACAACGAGAACATTGCCACACAGTGTTCAAAGAGTCAAAACGAACACTTTGCCACACCGTAATCAGTTGAAAAGGTCACGACGCGAATATTTTTAAACGCGAGAATTACCACTTTTACAGTATACGTCTATAATCGGTAGGCGATGGACCCCGAGGAAACGGCAACATCGGACCACTTAGCACTGAATGGAAATATATTGTGCCTGAGGATAATTTACTTTAAGAATTTAATTTATTTATGAGTCATCAATTAAAATAAGTGAAACCTAGCTTACCGTTTATACACATTGAGTGTACATCATTGTACATTTGTAGTTATGAAAGGTTGGCAGACAAGTATACAATTAGTGGGATCAATTAGACGCGAGGAATTTCATCTTCCGCGGGTTGATAAGTAATTGTATCAACCTCAGTACAAGTTTATAGTAGTATAACATGGTAATATCAGACTAAGATAACTTTAATATCCTAACAGAACAAATTCCAAATAGAAATTTAAAAAAAAAAATCTTTATATAATCGAGATTGTTTTCATGATCCAGTTAGATTGAGAAGTTTGACAATCAGCAATCTTATGAAACATTAAGAGAATGTTTATTACGATTGTTTGGTCGACAATTGATCAATGAATTACTGATAGGTGCGGGAATGCCCGCATTTTCCGCGTTGGGTAAATCACGCGAAAATTTAAACACACGAATATAAATTTATGATTATAAAGATAACTTTCAGGAGGACTATTGCCAATATGAATAATTTCACACCGCGATCAGCTTAAAAAACAATAACGGGAACATTTTCACATGAAAGAGTTTCGAATTTTACAATTGATTATTAAACGAATTATCAGTGTTAACGATTTATCTACCAAATTTAGAGTTGTGTTCAAACAAATCATTAGCGAATCAATATAGATTATTCATAATTTCTTACTAATGTTATTTCATATTATGCTTGTTGCTATATCCTTGAATGTATTTATTCGGTGACGTCAAACCAACGCTTTAATATTATTGTTGTTATACTGTGCGAAGACTAAGAAGGTCTGTTTATCTGATCCATTTTAAGAGGCAATAAAATGGAAAATCTATTTATAAAAAAAATCGAAAAGAAAAACGAAAAGTATGTACCGGAAGTAACGTTTTGCAATCTCAAGGTTTCTTCTTTCAAAAAACACGTTTCCATTTTCACAGTTCTTTGATAATATCTTTTTGTTTTGAGTAAATTAGCGCGAAAATATCCATAGATCCATATAGATTTAAGAACCATTGTAAACACGATCAGTTTAATAAATCACGACGCGAATATTTCCACACGCGAAAGATTTCATGATTACAGTATACTGACATCACTGACTGATCTGGAGTGTAAAAAAATGAAGACGGCAAAGCGTAATATTTCTCTGTATACTATGTAACATCTGTAAATTATAACAACAGCTAAACTTGTCATCTTTATCAATATGTCTACACAAGCTTATTTATTAGCCAATTGTCCAGACATTTAAGTCCTATTTCTTCTCCTTGTGGTGTTATCTACCTTGTTTGTTATATTTATTTTATTACTCGGGTTCTGTTGGCATGCCTTGTACCATAAGGATTTTTACCTGTGGTTCCCGAGTCGTTATCTTGTACTGTCTGTATAGCAAATGGATAACGCGGTGATAAGCCCTAACGGTGTGTATGTATTGACTTTGTTATCAACGTAGGAACGACAAGGCGACACAAGGGACTTCCTTTTCTCTCCCTAGGGTTCTATTGATTCTGATCGGGGTACAGCCAACAACTGTAGCACTGACACTGGGTTCACTGGTATACCTACCCTTTGTACGTTAATGGTACCACAGGAATCCGTCATATCAGAGACGTTTAACACACAAACAAATACACAAGAGACTTTCATGCTATCTGCACCTCCGCTGTTCACAAACGGAGCCTTGATAATTTAGTACACTCAAGGATGGTGGACAGTTATACGGGACATTTGTAACAAGCTTTCATTGGATGTTATCCTGAATGTGTTTTCTGTCAAAAAAGGTAAGGGTTCCATTTATACGTTTCATTATAACGATTACTCGAAATGTGCACGGAACGCAAAATCATGTTGTTAAGATTCGAATCATTGTGACAAAATTTTGACTAAATTTTCTCAACAAGTGTAAAACACCCGACTTTCTTATCGAACATGAATGGTTCAAATTGTTATCTTTGTTTGGAAAGGAAGCTATAACCTTAATAAGACATTTATCTCACCAACATTAAAGAATATGTTTTTGATAACGATGACTTCAGTTTAAAATCACTTTCCAATAACGGTTTGAAAATCTCAAACTATAAAATGAACAATTTGATTGTTTTAATATTGAAAAAAAATCTCTATTTTTTGTTGTGCTGTTAAGTTTGTACTTGTTATATCACACACAGGCAGTCGAATTACGTTTGTCTATTTCCGAAGACAAATGCCGATTTCCCTTTTGGGAATTTCATTACTGATGACGCTGTCTGTCATGGTTGGTTCCTGATTCAATACTACACGTGTGCACTGTTTATTATTTATGATTTATATCTGATATTCGACATATTCTAATTACCAAACTGAACAGCTAAGCTTTGGTATAAAAGCACACATTTTAACACCACACATTGCTTAATGATAAATAATAAATAACAATAAAAAAAAATCAATATCACTTATATCTAATTTGTAACAGAAATGTGTCCATATTTACTTAACTAATGCCGTTACAGTATTTCTTATCAGAAAGAATCGAATTCGGAAAATCAATAGTACATTTAAAATGCTGTCATTTGACCTGAAATGCCATTAGCTCCTGTTTCGATGCATGTCTGTGCGATTGTTGTTCGTATACTTATCAGTTATGGACTTTTATGAGGTGAATATATGGTTATATCAACATGAGAAAGTGATATTGACCGAGACAAAGAGGAGGTCAATATCAGTTATTTCAGGTCAATATTACCACATATTCATCGAAATTCAAAGTTCTAAATTGTTATATTAGATACTTAAGAATTGTGTACGTTGTATCATTAGTGATTACATAAGACTTGAAAAATCGCCTGGAGAAAAAGGACCTATTTGTCAGGGAGCATGGTGACGTAACAATTGAACTGACGTCATAAAGTTAATGTAACCTGCTTTTTTTTTAAAGAAGTTACACCGAGTCAGTATTATTCATGAATTTGTTTTTGAATCGAAATATGTTTTGTTTGTTGTGAATGGCCAATAAAGGCACTGTACACTCAACTCAATTTCATATTATCAGATTTGGTCATCAGATATATTTCAAATACTGTCACCTGAAATAGATTTGTTAAATAAATGAGTACAGACTTACTATTACAATGTATGCTGTTTACTGACATACAACTATATTTAATAACAAAAGAAACAATACTTAATATGGTGCTGGTTTGTTTTGTAACTGAAAGGAGTTTCAATGTTTCCTGTGTCATCCTACAATAAAAGTACATAAACAACATCAATCAATTTCAATCCTGTAACGTCATCATGTTTGTTTCTGCCACCACAGATAATTCTGCAAAACAGCATGCAATTAAGTTGCATACAGAACAACTTTTTAGGTGTGTTTGGTTCTGTCAGTGAATTGAGTTCTGTAAAACGATATTAACTTAAGCTGTATACAGAACAGGCTTGTAAAACGATATTAACCTAAGCTGTATACAGAACAGGCTGGTAAAACGATATTAACTTAAGCTGTATACAGAACAGGCTTGTAAAACGATATTAACCTAAGAGTTACGCTGAACAGGTTTGTATGTGTGCTTGGTTCTGTCACTGCAAAGAACAACAGTGAGTTCTGTAAAACGATAAAAACTTAGTCTGCATGCAGAACAAGAGTTCAGGTGTGCTTGGTTGTGTCACTGTAGATAGTGCTGTGAACTGGTATGAAGTTGTGTTCTATGCAGGTGCATATTACATACCACCTGTAACATTAAACAAGGCGTTATCTCTCCACCACAAGATACAAAAGTTAAGTTATAAACATTGTGTCTGCGCATGCATATCTTAAGTGTCATGATTTGACGCATATTTTGTGATAAGGTTGTATTTTTAACGATATTGTTTAAAGATTCATACATGATATGTGTTTAAAGTTAAAAAAAAAAACACGAAAAATTCTGTGTAAGGCAGGCGGGGAAGAAACAAAATCTCGTTAGAATTGCTCTAATCTAATTAACAATCAGTTTCACTGTTTTGAATGACACGCTACAGGAGCTAAAATGAAGTTGCAATATGGAAATAACAGGTGACTTAAATTTGATGTAATTGTAATATCATACTCCTTTTAAAACTTTTTGTTATGAAGACAGGTCCTCAAAATGCAAAATAAATCAAGATAATTCAGTAACAATTAACAATAGTGTCAACCCAAGGAGATGAGCAATATTTCGTAATTGTTAATAATGAAGATTATTTATCGGACCCTTTTATCCGGGAAAATGTTTTCGTGATCCTTAGGAGTTTAAACACTTTAAATACTTTTTTGCTCATTAATCTGGCCAATCCGTTAAATTAGATTATTAAACAATACATCTCCAACACACAAGCAGGCATACACACATAGGAGATATTAGCCAAGTGGCATAGAACTAGTAGTTATCGCCTGATAAGGCAGCTCCTGCGAATTCCTAAAATCGGCTTTGATTACTGTATATGCTAATTGCATTGATTGTATAAGTTGTATATATATATATATATGTATATATATATATCTGGGTCAAAGAAGTAATATAGACGGGGGGGCCCCCTGCTGTGACTTAGATTCATCGCAGTATTGAGAGGCGACTAATGAGACATTCCGTAGCAGATTGGAGATTTTTCACATTTACCGGGCCAGATTTCCAAATGCACATGTTCCACGTTTTTGATATCTCTCGTTGACTCACTTAAATGACAGTGCATCTTGCGCAAGAATAGGTCCTCTACATCAGCGTTCCTTGTCCGCAATGCTCCCAGCTTGATTGCTGCCTTCGGCTGTCTTTAGCCGAGGGGACTATTGGTTTTATATGATAGCTATATTTTCAATTATACTATATCAATTCTATCTTCTTGTAACTTATCCACACTGTTGGAATTACTTCTTTGCCCCATATATATATATATATATATATAAAGAAAACATTGAGAAGTCCTTGTGTTGGAATTAAATATAAAAAATAGAACAAAAGACAGAGATAGCGTCTCTAGGCCTTTGTCGGGTTGATTCCCCGTTCATCAGGAGACTGTTTATTTTGAAAACAGGTATTGTGAGGTCATAGTATATATATATACTGTAAAGCGCTTAAGAGTGGCTTATTCTCGCTAGATAGAGCGTTATATCAAATGTTGTATAATGTTATTATTATTTAATGAAACAAACGTACTGGTATGACGACGTTGTACCACTATTGTACACACAATTTTTTTTTAAATGCAATTAATATCTACAAGAATGTTCTAATCTTGTTAAATAGTAGATGAAACTGACTCTCTACTTCATTTAATTTTTTTATTGGAGATGAATTTATCAACTCTTTTTTTCTTTATAGATATCAAATATTCGGGAAATTAATTGCATCGTCGTTTGAACAAATCTAACTCGCATTATGTCAATTTCATAACAAGCGTCTACATTGAGGTATTGATTGAAGAGATGTTTATGAGAAAGACAATTCAGAATCAGGTTTCGGTATTTCAATAAACAAAGAACGAAAAAACACATTGACTCATTGTCCAAACATTTTATACAAATTCAGAAGAATATTATTGATTGAACAACAAAACAAGAGGACATAAAGCTGCCTAATCGGTATTTGTTTTTCTAAACAGAGTGAAATATACCCCTTTTAAGACTTTGGTTTGACACCTGCGATAAGGGCTATAATGTACACGGGTCGGAGGCACCATGTTGTGCATTTATCTAAAAATCGATTCGGCAAAAGCAGAGTTGAGATAACATGGGTTTGTATTATTGTCCATGTCAAAATCTGAACGATTATTTTTCATTATTGGCATGGGTTCCTTTTCAGGAAGGGTTACGCATATTTCAGATCGAACCACCTCAATCGAACACTAAATAGTCGAGGAATTGGCTGAAGTAAGCTCTACCAGGTCTGACTTTATCAGGATACATCAATTTTCATTACATGGGTCCAATTTATTTTTACCTTTGACACATTACGTACAGTCAATATAAACGTTACCAATTCTATGTCAATCTAAGGTAACTTAATGAATTTCCTAAATACTCGGACCTTAAAAGTTGTTTGACTTAATGGTAACACCATTCTGATTCCCTGCTAAGGGTTACTGCAAAAGTGTTAATTTATTATGTTTTGAAATCGATTTTGTTGGTTTCCTTTTATAATTTTCGAAACATGTGAAATGTTGCCCACAATCAGGAGGGATGGATCTTAGAGCATATTGTTTTAATTATTTTCTTCGGAGTATGAATCAAGGCAGAATTATTCGTTTCATACCCCGATAATATTTTTAGCATTAATATTAACACTTATCAATAATTTTCAAATACCAATTAACAAAGTAACAACTTGATGTAACACTGAGTACAGTTTAATACAAATCGACCCTGTCAATTCAATTTTTTATATTATTATTATTTATTTATCTATTTATTCAATGTTATGATATCCGCCTTCAACACTCAGTGTTGAGAATGTATGAGCCGTAAATAAAAGAGTTGAACAGGAACCGTGGAATATTACACGATGAAATTATTTCGATTTTTATGTTCAATGGTCCATCAACTTTGCGTAAATGGGTCACTGTAGCTGCACATATTTTGTTAATTCAACCTTTATTAAAATGCAAGGAAACTATTATCAGAAATCTTCATTTCCTTTTAAATGGATTGAAAAAAACAGAGGTCACTCTGACCTAGTTATGATGTAAAACATGTTTAACCTCTTCATTTAAACCTGAAGTAAAAAAACATTATATGAGATAATATAAGAAAAGCAAATCACGTTTATTGTTCGATGTAGTGGGGAAT